TAAAAGTATAAATTTATTAAGTCATAAGGTATATTGCTTATTTATTAATTTTAGTAATATATGATCTAGGTTAGTAATGATAATAGTTGATGCAGATAGAATCTGTTGTTGAACATATATTTTACTCAGTTTCCATATATATTTTTGTATCTTTTTTGTAATTTGGTAGTAAATATTTGGTAGTAAGTTCTTTTTTAGTGAATCTAGTTCAAGTAAGTTATTTGTTATAATTCTAATCAGAATTTGTTAATTTATGTAAATGTTTTGTATTTTTTAAGCTAGATTTGTTGATATTGTTGTTTTAATTTCATTATCTTTGTAGACTTTTGTTATTGCTTCTTTTATTATTTCTTTCAATTCTATTTGGTTGTATGAGCAAGTAAGCATATGGACTGTGTTTTCTAGTATGTTTAGACACTTTGCACAGTATAGGTTGATATGAGTTTTTGGGTTTCTTTTATAAAGGTTAAGATATGTTAGTAGTTCTGAAGTTAGAATTTTGATTTTGAATGTTTTTAGAGTAGATTTTGTAAGATCAATATTTCGACTAAGAGGTTTGTTTTTGAAATTGAGATATTTAAATGTAAGTTTCCAATTGATGTTTGAAAGATTGTCAGAAATATGTTTAATATGCTTCTAATTATTTCATATGATAATTGCTTTTGCTTATTGTAAAGTTTTAGGTATTTGGTAAATAGTGTAAGTAGTTGGTATATTTATTATGAAGGAGGTAAAGATAGTGTTTAGTACTATATTAGGTAGCAGGTCTATATGGAATTGACAGAAAGCATTTTTTATACTAATTTTTTCTTTAGTTAGGTTAATTTTAATCTTTAAATTTTTAGTATTGATTATAGTATTAAGAAAAATAGTGATATTGTTAAAAGGAGTTTTTTTTAGTTTATGTTTCTGTTCTGATAACATTATAAGTATTGTTAAAATTTTGTTGAAAATGTTGCTTTTATCAGTTAATATTTGAATTTTTGTTTTTTTTGTTATTACTATAAGAATTATTGCAAGCATTGTAAACATTGCATAATCTGAGGAAAAAAAGATTTAGTTGGTGCAATGCCATGTATGATCATTATGCTAAAATGATAATTGAGCATAAGGAGTATTGTATTTATTTGTTTTCTTGAAAGTAGTTGTGAGTTTGAGATTTAGTTCTTTTGGAAATAAACTTGTTATATATAATTTTCATATTTTTCCTTAGTTATTTGCAAAGGTCTGTAGAAGTCAATAGTTGGCTTGATATTTTGAAGTTGAAAGTAAATATTTGTGACTTTGTTTAGATTGTATAGTTGTTTAATAAAAGCATAAACAATTAAGGTTTGCATGAATTTGTTTGTGATAATCACTTGAATTTTGAAGGTTTGGTATATAGAATTAGTAAAATAGCAATAGGTTGTTTTAAATTTTGGGTTTTTGATTTGACATCCAAGACATGGTATTAGTTGGTGATTGTTTAATGAATGTGTATTGTAGTATTTGATTTTGGCTTGATTATTGATGATACTTGTTAATTTTCCAAATTGTTGTAATTTTGTAATTATCTATTGTAAAGTCTTAGTATTAATTTTTATAAAGGTGTATGGGTTGGGATAGTTTAGTGTTGTAGATGGATTTGTTAGTGAAGTGATATGGTTTGTGATTGCTTTGAACCATTTTGGAGTTTTGCCTCTTAGTATTTTTTGTATGTTATGATGAAAAGATATCCAATCTAGAATATTGTAATTTGAGTAGTCAAGAAATTGTTCAATACAGGTTATGTTGTGGTTGTTTAATTTTTCTTTGATTGCATATAGTTGTTTTATTGATTGAAGAATTTGGTTAATAGATGTGCCCTTTGTTTGTTTAAGAATAGGCTATAGGTTGGTTGTATATTCTAGCTAGATGTTTAGTAAATAAAGTATGAACATCATTTAGACTGTATTTGTTTTAACTTTATTTGTAGTTAATATAAGTTATTCTAGTAAGATTGGTTTGTTTAAGTTGGCTGCATTTTGAATTTGTTGTAATTAGATTTTTAAACTGTGAGTATCAAAATCAAATAAATTAATACTTCTATCTAATATATGAATTTGTTGCTATTGTTAAACATTGTAAAGTGTATTTAGGGCATATATGTTAGGATGATATAGGGTGGAATTAGGAGTAAACTAAGCTAGTCTAGCTTTTTGTTTGATGATATTTGTATATAAGTTTGTAATGGAGTTGCAAGAACATTTTAATAGATAAATACTTTGCATCTAATATGCTGCATATGTAAGAATTATATTATTGATAATGTAAATAGTTTGTTTATCAGTTATTTTAGCAAATTTAATTTTGTTTAAATTAGAAGTAATGTCTTTGATAAGAAATTTTTTTGTAGGTTGAAGAGATAAGTCTTGAGTAAACCATATTCCTAGATGTCTAAATATTGCTTTTTGTTGGATATTTAGTATATTCTTTTTCTGAAATATTATATTAGCATTAGAATCTGAATCATTAGTTACTAGTATTAATTTGTAAGAGTTGACTTTGATATTAGCATAAGAAAGAAAGGAGTTAACTGTTTTTAGTATATTTTATAACTCTTGTTTATCTTTAGCTATCACATAATATCATTTTGGAAGTTTTGGGACAGTTAGACTTAAAGTATATTAGGATCATATTCTGGAGGCTTCTAAAACCCAAAAACTATATCAATATTTTTATATATCAAGAATAAATTCTGGAGAGTTCTAAAGCCCAGGAACTATATTGATTGGATCATATTCTGGAGAGTTCTAAAGCCAAAAAACTATATTGATATTTTTATATACCAGAAATAAATCCTGGAGGCTTCTAAAGTCTAGAAACTATATTAATTTTTTGGTTAGATAAATTAAGTCTAATAATTTTTTAACCTTCTAGAATGTATTGTGTGTGCTTTTAAAGCTTAGAAACTATATTAATTTTAGTTAAATTTATAACCATATCAGGAATATATTCTAAAAACTTTCAAAAGCCAAAAACTATATTGATTTTTGGTTAGATTTGTTGTCTAATGATTTCAGATTCATTAGATTTATTTATGAATATCTCTAACTATTCAAGAATTGCTCTTAGAGAGATTTAAATGTTAATTAGCATATTAAGAATTATGTGATTAATTAAATCTAATGAATTTTTTTATAGACAAGAATAGCTTCTATACGAGCTAACTCATTAAATAGCAGAATTATTAAATAAGTCTAATGAGTTTTTTGTTCCAACTTTTCCTTAGTCAAGAATGGGTTCTATGTGAGCTAGATCTTTAATTAGCATATTATTCCTATAAGTCAAACAATTGTCCCGATTAATAAGTCTAACGATTCTTATAAATTCAAAAAAAAGAAAAATTTGTTAACTAACTCTTTCTGGCTTTGAGCAGCTTATAAATTAATATATTAATCATATAAATCTAACTCTAATACTTTCCTGTAAAAATCTAAAAGAAATCTACGAAATTGACTCAACTTTTTCTTAGTCAAGAATGGGTTCTGACTGCTTTTTCGAAACTGTCTAAAGACTGTTTGATGAATTCGTTTAAAGCCTTAGTCTGAAGTTTAGCATAATATTGGGTAACATAATAGCCTCTGATATGTAATAGGCATCAGCTACAAGCAGAAGGAGTAGGTTTACCACAATCAGAGCAAGAGATATGTTTTTTAGCTTTCTAATGGAATCGACATCCTTCAGGGTGAATACAAGCTCTCCCACAAGACTCTTCAGAATTTTTAAGATAGGAGCAAAAATACTCACTGATTATCCTGCTATTTTTATCACTAAATTTGAAAAGTGATATGTACTTTATATATATAATAATTAATTAATTAAAGAAAAAATTTTATAAACAAGTAAAAACACAACAGTTAGAGCTAACACTATACCAAATATCTGATGCTTACCCAGAATATATAAAAGAATTTAGTATAGAAATAGCTAATTTTAATCCAATTAGTCCTACTGCCTATATATCTTTGCCCGAAACTTTGCCAAAACATAATAATAGAATTATTAATATTCAAAATTAGAGGCCTGTGTTGGGTCTCACAGCCTGGCCCAGCCCACAAATTTTTGCGAGCCAGGCTGGGCCTGAAGCAAAATTTTATAATTGCAAGCCAAGCCAGGCTGAAAAATTTGCAAAACTTTATAATTGTAGGCCAGTGTGGGCCTGAAAATTTGTAAAATTATATAAAAAATTTATGCAAGCTAGGCCAGGTTGGGCCAGGCTGAAGAAAAAATTTAACATATGCAGGCCAGGCCAGGCTGGCAAAAAAATGATAACTCTAAATGCAGGCTAAGCTGGGCCTAAAAAAAATTTTTACTTCTAATTGCAGGCCAGGCTAGGTCTAAAAAAAATTTTTACTCCTAATTGCAGGCTGGGCTGGGCCTCAAAAATAGACAATTTGCAGGCCTCTATTCAAAATGATGATGATTGGTGTTTTGAATAGAGTGTTTTAGGAGCTTTGCATCCTGTTAAAGTTCATTCAGAGAGAAATCTGCATCACTTATATGGAGCTTTCATGAAGGAACTTAATATGGATAACATTCTAATTTCGATACCAGTCTCAACACCAGTTTATAAAAAGTTCAAAGAAAATAATCCTGAAATCAGTTTATGTGTCTATGAATAGCACAACTATAATGAATGTCTTGAATTTTGCTATGTTTTAGAAAGAAGAGTGGATAAATATAAGCAAGTAATTCTTTTAGTAATTATATAAGAAGAAAGAAGTTACTACTGTATTATCAAAGATTTACATAAGCTTGTATACAATCATAGCAAGCATAAAAGATAAAAATATTTCTGCTGTTATTGTCTTCATGTATACTCTTCAGAGATAAGATACAATGAACATTTGCCAAAATGCAAGAGTCTAAATAATGCCTCCCAGTGACCACAAATGCTAGTTAAGAATAAGAGTATCAAAGCTTTTTATAATCATAAATGCATGCAACCAAATTTATATCACATTTTCTGGGATCTAGAAATGTTAACTGAAAAGTTAACTCCAGAAGAGAAAACGAAGTTAACTTATACCAAAAGATTGCAGATGCACAAGCCATATGGTTATTGCTATATAGTTGTTCATATGAATAGTTTACTTAACTATAAAATCATAAGTCATAATTTATATAGGGGCCCAGATGCACTTGAAAGATTTGTTACAAAAATCAAGAAGAAGTTGGCAAACATACAGGAGAACTTATCTGTGCCTGCAGAAATGATAATGGCACCAGGAGATTCTAAAGTATACAATGAGGCGACAGAATGCTAGATTTGCAAGAAACTTTTTTTAAAACTAGCACCAAAGATAGTACAAAAATTTGAAGAAGCAAACTATAGATTGCTAGAACTTAAAGAATGAGAAGCTAGTATAGAAAAGAATTATTTAGAAAAGAAAAAGATACAAAAAGAATACCATGAAGTTTAAGTTTTCTTAACTACAAGATAAAAGATCATGATCATATAAGTGGTAAATACCGAGGCCCAGCTTATGACTTTTGCAATAAAAAGTTGTGTATAGGCTTTTTCAAAACTAAAGTGCCTCTTATCTGTCATAATTTCTGAGAGTATGACTCTCATCTGCTTATAAAAGTTGTAAGCAAGTTCATAGCTGATAAGCTAAATTGCATTTCAGAGAATATAGAAAAGTACAAAGCTATAGATGTAGAACAGCTTCAGTTCTTAGATAGCTTTCAGCATATAGGAATAGGGCTAGATAAATTGGTTAAATGCCTAGAGAGAAAAATCAAAAAATTTACCCAAAGTGTTAAGTATTTTACTGAAAAAGGCTATTCAATAGACAAGATTAAGCTTCTTTTTTGAAAAGGTGTCTTTTTATATGACTGGACAAATGTATAGGAAAAATTCGACAGAACAAGCCTTCTGTCTAAAAAGAATTTTTATTCACTTCTTAGTCAACAAAATATTAGTAAAGAGGATTATTAATATGCACAAAAGGTATGGCAAATATTCAAGATAAAGAACTTTGGAGAATATCATGACCTTTATCTTGAGACTGATATACTTTTACTTGCAGATGTTTTTATGAATTATATCATAATGTGTCTCAAAGATGATGGTTTAGATCCATTTCACTATGTCTCTGCACCTGGAATGTTTAACAATTCTCTATACAAAAATAGTGGGGTAAAACTTAAGCTCATGACAGATATGGATGAGTATCTGATAGTTGAAAATGAGATCCATGGAGGAATGACAATAACAAGTTATCGATATGCCAAAGCAAATAATCCACAATGTCCAGACTATGAGCCTAGCAAGCTGAAGTCCTGGGCCTTATATAAAGATATGAATACCTTATATTTAGATGCAATGACCCAATACATGCTTACAGAAATCCTAGATAAGGTAAGTTTAGAAGAAGTACCTGACATCCAAAGTATTGCACCAGATACAGAAATAGGCTATATACTTGAAGTTGATTTAGAAGCCCCAGTGCACTTGCATAATTACTTTGCAGATTATTCTTTAGTGCTAGAAAAGCAAATAATATCAGAAAACTGGCTTAGTCTATACAATGAAATATTAGTGCATGATAAAAATGTTGGAGAAGAGAAATATGTATCTGGAGAAAAGCTAGTTCAGACTCTTTTTACTAAGAAGAATTATATAGTTCATTACCGAGCTCTCCAGACATATATGAATGAAGATTACAAAGATTCATAGTACTCTCAAGTTTAAGCAGTCTCCATAAATGAAGAAATATATTGAGAAAAATATTCGTAAATGCAAAATAGCCAAGGCAAATGGGGATGAGTTTGGAGTTGTGTATTATAAGCTAAAAAATAATGCAATCTTTAGCAAGCAGATGGAAAATGTTTGTAAACATATGAGAGTAGAATTACTCCGAAGAAATAAGGATAAAAAAATCAGATGCCTAGCAAGTTCACTATTATATGTAGGCTTTAAAGCATTTGAAGAGGATATTATAGCAGTTCACATATTAAAAAGCATAGTAACTCTAAACAAACCAATCTATGTAGAGCAGGCAATTCTCGATATTAGCAAGACCATGATGTTTAACTTTTGGTACAGTTATATAAAGCCTTGCTATGGAGATAAGGCCCATCTACTTTATACTAATACAAACTCACTTATTATGTAGATAAAAACAGATGACATCTATAAAGATCAAGCAGAGAGGCCAGACATTTTTGATCTTAACTATTTAGACGATTTATTTCTAATGAAGAATAAGACAAAGGGCATACTTATAAGAGAAACAGTATGTTTAAAGCCAAAGATATACTCAGTTCTTCCAGCGGGACATGATCCTAAAACTCCTGATAACCCAGATTCTAAAGACCCTAAAAAGAAGCATAGTATCCAAAAGGCAAAGAGTATAAAGAAAAGTGTGATCAAAAGAGAGCTTTGACATGATAAATTTCTAGAATATCTTAGGAATAAGAAACTAACTCGGTATGATATGTATAGTCTTCACAGTTATGATCATTAAATATATCTGGAAAGGGTGAATAAGATAGGGTTAAATTCATATGATAACAAATGCTGAATATTACTTGATAGAATTCGAACTCTTTCCTACAAACATTGGTGAATTGGATTATATAAACACCTGATAGTATCTGAAATATTTCCTGAACAAGCAGAAGAAAAAGCTATGAAAGCTAAACTTTATGTCAAAGCATAAATGCTTTATAACAAATATTTTTTCAGATAAAAAAAAATTTTAAAGAATATATTTTTATTAATTAAAGTTTTTTTATTGCTATAGTAAAAATATATAAAATAGTTGATCATAAAGATATAAAACTTGTGCAAGTCAAAGTCATAAAAACTGCATTGTGAAAGAGCAAAAAATATGATAATCTTATGAAAAATTATAGAGGTTATCTAAAGAAATTGCAAGCTGAAAAGAATCTGAATGATTATATTAAGACAATTGCAGTCAAGATGTTTCCTAATAAAGAGCTATATACTCTAAGACTAGAGAATTATCACAAAAAGTATGCAGATAATGATCTGTATACCAGTCTAGAGAAATTATATAAGCTTTATTATCAAATAGCTAAAGAGGAGAATTGCGAAAGGTCAGATGATAAAATAGAGCAGATGCTCAAAGCAATGGCAATCTAGAATAAACAAATATAGTAGACCATCTCTTGCAGATTATTAGAGAGTCCTTTATGGACTGGGATCAAGAGAGTAGCTGTTCACCATTTTCTTAATACTATTCTTGAGATCACAATTGAGAGATATATTTTTATATTAATATTTTTTTTCTTATAATTGACAGTATCGAAGTGAAATAAAAATCTATGAAGTGTATATTCACTTTTCTTCACAATTGCTATAGAAGATCTAACGATGATCCTTTGGATCAAGTCTTATTATAGAAACATGCCTGACTCTCCTGGCTCATACTAATTAATTCATAAATAAACAGATCACCAAATCCAAAATGAGATTTTATAAAATCTGCAAATTGGTTTGTTAATACAGAAATATATTATAAAACAGAATAAATGAATAATAAATTTCAAAGACTTATCTGGTTAAAGTTCAGGTAAATGTATTGATTTAGATATTATATCTGTTTATTTTTTATCTATTAAATAATTTCAGGTAGTAAAAAAATAATATATATTCAGATAAGTATAAAATGATAAAAAAAATTTTCATCATTAACCAACTCATTGTAACCTATATTATGAGTAACGAACCATTTAATGAAGGAGAACTTACCAAAAAATATCCTAAACAAGCAGAATTATTAAAAGCCTTAGAAATAAATATCTTAAAAGGTCATCCAAACTCACTCGCAAGTAATATCATAATACTGGAGCTAAAGAATTGGCATGAATATAATGAAGAAATTTTATTAAATCTACTCAAAGCATTTACTACACTCATGTGTGGTCATATACTCCATTATGACTGTCTTGAAAAAAATAATAAAGATAAGCAAAAAACTTGTCTTATTTGTTTCATAGATAATGAAAGAATGTTATCTGCTAAAGTTCAGGACGTAGATATGTCAGAGGCAGTGGAAGATGAAGGTGAAAAAACCTCTAATCTAATAGGGGTAGTAAATAAGTTATCCGTAAATAGTGGTAAAGTTATTCTACAAAGTGAAACAAAATCTATGGAACCTGATAAAGTACAAGGTTTAATAAAAGAACTATCTATGCCAAGTGAGCTGATTGATAATAATGATAGAGGAAATAAGAACAAAGAATCAAAACCAATAACTTTACTCCAGTTATATTATAATGCAAACTGAACAGAAAAATGTGTAACCTATGCCTATCAAGAAGAAATAAGATGCTGATATCTGTTTGTTAAAAAATTTGAAGAAAAAGTTAAAGAAATAAAAAATGATAACAGTAGGTACAATGATCAACAAGCTAGAGGGTTAG